TGTGTGTGTGTGTGTGTGTGTGTGTGTGTGTGTGTGTGTGTGTGTGTTTGTGTGTGTGTGTGTGTGTGTGTGCGCGCGTGTGCAGGCTAATCTGATTAAACACTGCACCAGTCTAAGATCGTAGTGTTTCTCGAATAAAACCCACCTCTCACACATTTCATTGCATCACAGTGGACACACCCTCCCTCCATCCACTAAGCATTGTGTTCTGCGGCGTATCTTCTCTGGTGCAGCTCGGCGGTTGGCTGATGTCACTGCTTGTAGAGCGATAGCGACATTCTATTCGGTGAAGAATGACCAGGATGTCTTGCTGAATTTACTTTTTATTATACATTTAATTATACTCTCTCAGTCTAAACCACCACATATCTCCTCTGAATTAAATGAAGTTAAGTTTGTATTTATTTTGATCAAACGCGAACATCAGCTCCATTAATTGACTATTTCACACCGAGGGCAATTCATTTGCAGTCAATATTTTTTCACATTTGTTTTTTTGTCATGAATACTCTCACACAGAACGTGAATATTAAGCACATATTTTTTGGGGTTGGTTTTTCTCCATCAACCAACCGCGTTGCGCCTCTATTTATGAAACAACAAGATGTCAAACTGTATTACTCATTTCAACCTTCACAAAGGCAGCGCAGGTCCGATCTGTTCCCTCCATTTTTACCTTTCACAATAAAAGCCCGAAACAATTTGGATTACGGCCATCGCCATGTTGGTTTTTTAGCAGCCAATGAACAGGAAGTGACCATATTTGGACTGAGGAGTGACGTAGAGACGCTGTATAAGACTGATAGCAACCTGTCAATCACAGTGTAGCCCCGCCCTAAAGCATCCCCTGCTTTATGGTCTGTGTGACTCTAAATGGACCATAATGTACTAAATGAACATCATGCTGTATTGAAGAAGACTTGAAACTAGAGATTGAGACCATAAACTCATGTTTACAATGTTTACTGAGGTAATAAATCAAGAGAGAAGTAGAGTCATTTTCTCATAGACTTCTACACAACCAGAGGAGTCGCCCCCTGGTGGTCACTAGAGAGAATGCAGGTTTTAAGAAACTGCTTCACTCGCCTTGATTTATTGTATGACACGTAAAAGAGGGAGTTATAAATATGCAAAAACACAACTGCCTTTACTTAGATTTAAGGACACCATCATAGGCGCTAATATTAAAATCATACACAGCATTATGGGTAACAACAGACTCTATTACACTTGGCTTGGTTTTGCAATATGGACATAAAAAGCCAAATAGAACCTGACATTTCCATGCTTTTCTTCTTTTCTTTACCCCGATGCTTCATGGAGTCTGGTTTCCATTTTGTTTTGTAGCCGTGGGTCATTGGTTCCAGCTTCAGTAGAGCTCCTCCATCAGCCCACTGCTTCCAACCATAGGTTATCGTTATTGGATAGAAAGGTTGCTGAACACACAGACGACTTGATCTAATGCTGAGCTTTCAAACTGAGTCATAGCCGAGACTTCAACAAGTCTCGAGTCTGATAAAACAAAACAAAAGCCTCTAAAATGTTTTTGTTTATTTTAATTGTTTTTACATTATATTAGATAGATTACGTTTTCTGTTTCTTTTTGTGTTATTGAAAACATTTAAAATACTTTAGGCTTTAGTCAGAGTTAACAGGTGATCTCAGTGTTTTCATTTCCTCTCATCAGTGAAACAAACAGAATGTAAACTAGCCTTTCATATTAGATTATATTAGATTATAAATCGGCTACAATCATCAGAACAATGTGAGCATTCAGGCTCCCTCATGTGGCCCAAAGGTGTACTGCAGATATAAAAGACAACTCGACTTGTTCTTTGAGGGCAGACCGGCCCCAGAGAGGAGGCGGAGGGACGGAGAGGGTGAAGGTGCTTCTAACCAAGTGAACAAAAGATAAAAGACGGGAGAATTGTGTTCATAGCTTCTTATAGCCTGACATGAGGAGCACTAATTGAATGCAGATTAGCTATCTTACATGAGCACGAGTGGGAATTCAACTGAATGCGTTAAAGGTGAAATTGGCTTGGACGGGGTTAAAGGTGTGTGTGTGTGTGTGTGTGTGTGTGTGTGTGTGTGTCCTGGTTTTTCTCCAGCAGCCCAGTGCTGTTTGCGACAGATAATTATAAATGGCTTTTGTCCGTCCAGTCACCAGAATGAATGAGGGGGAGGCTGTTAAAAGCTGCAGAAGAGGAGGAGGAGGAGGAGCAGGAGGAGGAGGGGTGAGAAAAAGACAAAAGGGAGAAAGCGAGACTGCGTAGTGAACGCACATAATTTACAGCGCCGCTCTCCGTCAGACAAGGATCTATAATTGAAATGACAAAGAAGATGCATCGCTGAGCCAGTTGTTAGTGTTAGGAGCCATGAATCTTAGGTCGAGTAGCTGACACCTCTTGTATCCCGACTCTGTCAATCATCATGGGGGGGGGGGTCACAGTAAAGCCCAGATGAAGTGCTTTTTATCGTGTGTTGTACTTATATTCACCACGAGATGGTTGAATACCGGGCTAGCTTTATGTGACGGTAACGTGAGATGTATTTATGATTATTTATTGACACTTTAACAGAAAAAGTGTCTTCCTCACTCACTGAAACAAGTGCTTCGTGTCACAAACAAACACGTGGAAATGTGACCCACAAAAAATATCTGAGTTATGAAAGTGACTGTCCGGTCTCGATCGATCGGTGCATCTTGAAATGTGGAAAGCCGTTTCAGACCTAAGACTCAGCTCGGGGTTGTGAAGTCTGGGTCGACCCGGGTCCGAACCTTGGTCTGGGAAGAGGTTAAAGATCAGGACTTGATTTAGCTCGTCAGACGATGGTGTAAAAGTGCGAGTGTGTGTTTTTCTAAAGGCTGAGGCGAGTTGATGGAAAGTGCTGAACAGTGAGGAGGACAGCGTATTGATCTGAACTCTGGGAGGAGGAAACTAATGATGGGGAACAGTCGGACGCCTTTTTATTTTTTTAGTTATTGGATTTTCCCTCCTATTAACCACAGCAGTGATCAGTGATCGTCGGGGCAGAAGCACCTCTGAAGTGGTTCTTAACATCCAGCAGCTCAGAGTCCGTCCGTCTGTTGGACCGATTGCTGTAAAACTTGGTCCATGTTATCGTTGTGAGTTTACGTATGTGAGAGAGTAACTACATCCAGATGTACGGTTATCGAGAGCATCAGTCCAACACTCACACACACACACACACACACTCACACACACACACACACGCACACACACACACACACACACACGCCGTGATCAGCCAGCTGTGTGGAGGTGAGAGAGGAGCTTCTACCTCCTTTTTGTTTTCGTTTAATTTATTTATTTTGCATAATTTAAACAATAAAATAAACAAAAATAACAGAGATAATAATATCACAGAGCAGGACGAGGCAAAAAGCCAGCTGGGCTTATTTGAAGCCTCCACTTATATAATATTAAAACCTCACAATATTACAGAGAACATAAACTGAATATGCATAATAATATAATATGCTTTAAACTGAGTGCAGCGTTATGAGTACCGTTCAGGAGAGATCATTATCCTCATGTTGTTGTTATTGTTGTTCTCACTGCATCCTATGCTTAGTTCTATCATCATTACCAATAATCATAAAACATAAAGTGTGATTCATGTTTCTCTCTGCAGGAAAAGACAGTAAACAGCTGCCGATTTACCAGGTAGGCCTAATCTATATATATATATATTTACTGTATATGAAGTATATGACGATATAATATCCGACGCTGCTGTTTACGTGACGTTTGACGGCTCTTGTGTTGTGCAGGCAGAAGGTGTGTTGACGCTGAAGCTGGGCTCCTTCAAAGCCCCTCGCCATGAGAAGAGTGGACAAGTGCTGTCCATGGATTGGCTGCCTGAGAAACCTCACAATATAATGGCTGTTGGATTCTATGACGGTATGAATTGATTTTCTTGATTAATTGGTTCAGCGTTTGACAGAACAAACGGATGAAGAGTCTAAATCCCCTCAGGTTCATCTGCCTCTTTATTCTTTTCTACCACTGTCTTCATGAAGTATTTTCACATGTTTTGCTGTCTTTTTCAAGCTACTTTCAGCCGGTATTTTCTGTCTTTGTTGAGTCTAGTGTGTCACGTTCTCTCTCTCTCTCTGTCTCCAGGTGTCGTAGGTCTGTGGGATCTGTCCACAAAGTCGCCGCTGTTGCGGTTGCGAGAGTCTGAGTCCCTCAGCCTGCTGCCCTACCGATGCCTCCTGGCTCACGACAACGCCGTCCGGGCCCTGGCCTTCTGCCCCGCCTCCAGGTCAGACTCCTTTAACATTATGTTACGTGTAAATATGCACACGAGGCATTATCTAATGGTAACTTTGGGTGTATTTAGGAGAAATCTACAACTATACAAAGTAGTAAAACACTAATATTTTCTTATATCAGCTCTTTGGATAGAGCTGCAACCAATAGAAGAAGTACTAACATATAACGTCCTCAACAATCGTGACTCAAACTCAGATACAGTTTCGTATTCAAGTTGCATATCTGAAGCTACTTTCCTCTTTGAAGTTCATCTCTGGGACTAATCCATCATGTCCGTTACTCATCATTTGAGTTGATCTTCTGCAAAGGTATTAACCTAAAGTTGAACCACGTACGTGAAGAAGAAGATTAATCCTCCAGAGGACACACATCTGGATCACTGCTCTTTAATTAAACAGTTGAAAGAGATAAAACTACGTCTCTCTCTGTCTCTGTTCGACTTTTCTTTTTTCTTCCACCTGAACAGTTTGTCATCTCTTCCTCTCCACATTCACACACCACTGTTTTTTGTCACAGTCGGTCGAGCGCGTATGAGTACGTAAACAAGCTCTCTCTCTCTCTCTCTCTCTCAGATTCTTGTTGGTGACCGCAGGAGAAGACCGCTACGTGAAGACGTGGGATCTGAGGAGGCTCTACCATCCAATCACAGTCCAGAAACGCTACCTGACCAATGAGGTCTACTGGCCCCTGAATGCACCCGGAGTCCTGTTGGCCCAGGAGAACGCCTACGCAGCGTGAGGCGGCTTCTCTTTTTCCTCTCCGTCATCACTTCTTTCTAAGAACTATAACTGACAGCAAAAATGAAGATATTCTGACTATTCCAATAGAAATACCAGTATAAATTCAAGTTGACTCATTAAAAAGTAACACGTCGGTTACATAGTCTGCCCTAAAATACCAAAGTTATCCAACGTACGATTGTACATTATTATGCTGAAGCTGTCACTGTTTCTGTTGTATGTATCGTGTCTAACTTTGCTGTTTGTAATGTTTTGTGTGTCGTTTTATTTGGCCGATCAATCGGTGCTTCTGTAGTCATAACGTCCATAAATGTCCATATAGGACGTCTGTAACGGGAGATATCCTGACTGGTGGGCTTCCCCTTTAAGTGCTCTGAAACAGAGTCATACTGAGATTTCCATGTTTCTCTTCTTTCCTTTTCTTTGCTTAACTCTGTTGGTTGTATTTGTTTTATTTAGGTACGGTTCACAGGGAGTGCATTACTTTGACCATCAGTTGCGCGCCATCTTCGCAATTCCTCGGACCGCCACTCTGTGGGTGAGTGTGACGTTATCTTCCATCTTTTCAGTCATCGGCTTTCCTTAAAATCAGCCACGGAGCGCACGATAGACCAGCTTTGCTCTTCAGTAACTTCTTTAAATGTGGGCGCGACGCTCATGGATGTCTTAACGAACACTTTTAAACATAACGTAGTTTTTAAATGTGTCTGGTACCAGAACACCTTAGCCAGTCGGTAAGTTTGACCCGGACCATAAAAGGATATAACTGGCATTTTTCAACATTTTCAAAAGGACTTTCTGACGTTGGACGTTTTGTAATTCTGAACAAATCTCTGGAACGAAACACCAAATAAACCCGATATTCACGAGGGAAGAAAGCTAATATCTTAATGCAGATGATTGTGTGTTCTTCCCGTTTGGTTGCAGTCCATATCGTACACCGAGTGGTTGAACAGTGTGGTGACAGCGGACAGCCTCGGGGAGGTGATCCTCTCCCTCTTACCTCAGATCGGCATCATCCCTCAATACATCAAACGCACGTTAGAGAGACGCTTTGTAAGTTTACCGCTCTTGTTGTTGTACTTTGTACATTACCTTGCTGCTAAAACATGCAACAAAGCATTTTCAGAGGAGCTACACGACTGTATTAACGTGTCCCCCGGTGTCTTCAGCCCGTCTACCTCACGTCTCTGGTGCCTCATGAGACAACCAAAGACGACAATCAAGAGATGGGAGGAGTCGAGGAAGAGGAGGAGGAGGAGGGGGGAGATGCCGTCGAAGAGCAGGACGGAGGAGAGACCGAAGGACCGGATGCTGGATCCGCAGGAGGGAGCGAGAACAGAAGAGATGGAGGAAGAGGGAGAAAGGATGAATGTCCTCCTCTGAAGAGCCAGACTTACAAAGAGGCCGTGAAGAGAAACTGGCTCCAGCACACAGACAGCGACATGGTGGGTAGATTCAAACCACTTCCACTTCCTCTCTCTGGTTCAAACCTCGGGTTGGTAATGTTGAGCAATGATCCAACCTAAAGAACACAGCCCAGTGTTGCTCACTCTTTTTATAATGAAAGTAGCTCGCAGCACTCTCTCTAATGTTGCTGAATCTAGAGGGAACGTCGCCAAGTCGGCACCACTGACAGCCGTCTTTTCATTCACAATCATCATTATTAGTTATTAAAGCACATGTAACAATATAATAATCCTCCGACTTCCAGCGGACCTTCGCACGAAGCGAGAAGCGACCTGTGTGGAAACGCATGAAAGACACGGAGCTGAAGACGAAGCTGAACATGGATGAGATGCCCTTAGGTGCACTACACAAGGTATCTACACACACACACACACACACACACACACACACACACACACGGTCGTTAGACTTCTGCTGCAACACAAGGTTAGAAAGGAGGGAAGTGAAGGAAACACTGTGAGGAAAGGAAAAGGGAGGTGAGAGATGTAAGAAGAGCCTCCTCCCTCCTCTCTCTTCTCTCTCGTCTCTCTCGTCCTCTGATGGGCAGCAATAAAGACAGCCAGAATGTAATGATGTGTAAAATGAGAAAAATGTCACCGTCAGTAGGAGGGAGGGAGGGAGGGGGAGCCATTTGAGGATTTGATGTGTTTAATTTTAAGAGGGGCAGAAGTGGAGGGTGCCTCCATGGCCTCTGGGACGAGATGATGGACGGGCACTTCATGGGACAATCTCAAAAAACAAAACGCCGCCGGGTTTGTGAACCGTTTTGCTTTTGGTCTGAAGGGAATAAATGGGTTCTACAGAGACTGAGTCGGGAAGAGATAGGGAGGGGGGGGTAAAAGAGGAGGCACAGCGGGAGGAGTTATGGTGATGAAGAGAGGAATAGATGAGTGTCAGTAAAGAAGAGGAAGAAGCTGGCAGTGATATCGACTCGCTGAGAGCTCACAGAGGACGGAAACTACCTGAAAACAAGTTGATTTAACTCAAGTAGTCATCAAGATGAAGGAGATTCTAGCAAAATACATACGTCATTACTTACGCTGATGACACGGTGTTACACCTGTCCTTGTCCTTGAGACTTAAGCTCAAGGACAATGTTTGTGCCATGAATTGCAGATTTGTAGTGTTTCCTTAATTTAAGATTGTTTGGTGGATAAACCGGAGCTTAAAGGGACAGTTCACCAGAGTGTTTTGGGGAGAGTTGCCGTGTGTTGGCGATATCTTCTGCCTTCTCTATGATACATTGGGACTAGAATGCCTCTGCTTGTGGTGCTCAAAGCGACAAAAAGATGCATTTAAAAAACAATCAACAGAGTTGTTTCTTTCCAGAAATCCCGACCCGGTTACTCAAGATGATCCACAGACCTTGTTGTGAGCAGTTCCATGTAGATTAGGAGATTAGTTTATAGCTAACGATGCTGCTAGCTCTCCTTGCGCGCCATTAATGTTTACGTTAGGCGTTCTCACCAACCTCTCGACCATGAGCTCATGCACGCTTCCTCCAAGTTTTAAAGGTTATTTATGATTTAGTTTGTTCTTCTTCTTCTCCTCAGGTGCGTTTCAACCCAAACATGAGCTGCCATACCTGGTTGGTGTCCGGGGGCCAGTCGGGGCTGGTCAAGATAAACTGTGTGAGGGCTATGAACAGCTCCCAGGCCAAGAAGATCATCAGTGAGAACCACGACCAGTTCAATGCATTGTACTCTCCTAAAGACCAGGAGGAGCTATAGCAAGAGTCCAGCTTCACTCCAGAACCAGAAGGTGGATCACAAACACACAAGCCTGCAAAAGAGTATTTTTAAGAATAAGTAAAAGAATGTTCCCTCAGCACGTACAGTATACATCCGCTGTTTTTCAACTGGGCCTAATCTCGTTTCAAGTGTCCTAAAGACCAGCGACATGCTTATAATTCTGCCTGAAAGTGTTCCAGGTCGATGGAGAGCCTCGGGGAAGAGTTTCCACCTCCACAAACCATTTCACTTCCCCACCAAATGTCTCTCAGATGCACCTTTATTTCCGCTCCAAACTTTTTATCGAAAGCGACGGTTTATTTGCTTCCAAGAAGTTTGAGCAGCTGGCGGTTTAAGTGCCTTGCTAAACGTTCTCCACCTGATGCACATTGAGTCCATGTCGGGTTTTCGGTTGCTCCAGTTTCTCTCGTTGGGCGTGCAAGTTGCAAACGTGGCAGTGAATCCATTTTTGACAGCAGTCCAAGGTAACAGAAATGTAAATTATCAGCTGGAATCACTCTCAGGAAAAATAATAAATACCTGCAGTGTTTTTAAATTGATATCAACAACAACAACGTCTTCGTTCTGCTGACATCTAGTGGTTAAAGTTGTCGACTGTGATGTAGAAGTGTACTTCAGGGTGTGTCAGTGCGCCGTGACATCACCGGGGGGGTGTGGTCAACGGTGCAACAGACTTATTTATTGAAAAGAAAAGGTGATTTTCCAACAACATGCGTCCTGTTTTTTTCCCACTTCTCTCAGGGTAATGCAAAGCAGACACGGCTGATAATTCTTCTCTACGTCAAACTTCAAACTAAAGTGTTTCTGTTCACAAAACGGAAGGACTGAGTACCAAAATGCAAGAATCTCGGTAAACATTTTCATGTTTTTTTTTTTTGTTTTGTTGTTTTTTTTTTAAAATCGGTAAAACATTCCACCGCGGCTTTTTTTTTAAATTTGTGTCTTCGTATCTGTCGGTCTTACTAGTAAGAGCGCGCAGCGACGAGGACAGCAGCATCGTAGTTCAGCTCGGTCGGTCGACTGTACAACGATCTTTGTGTTTGCTCATTTATTTTACCGTTAAAGATACACTTTCCCGATTTTGTCCCCAAAGTCTCCTCCCACTTTACTGTTGATGTTTTAAACTGTGAACTGTGCTGCGTTTAAAAAAACATCAACAGCAATGAAACAATGCATCTTATAAAGGAATAGTTCATCCAAAACAATACTAATTGTATAAAGTTCTCACCATCACAGGCTCTCTACGGTCTATTGAACGTTTAGGAGAGCACTTTATAAAATATCTGGAAAGGTTTCAGAAAGGTCCTGTGCAGCATCGCCCAAGTGTCTTGTGTCCATTGTATCCTAATTTCACTCAACCTTTGCTGAATAAAGACATTTTCTGGACTAACCTCTCATGAAGGAATTTGTCGTGCAATAGTTCAGCAAAACCTGTTGTGTGTAGATTTCCACGAGCGTATGAATGGATTAAGAAGCTCTTGGATGATACTGGACAGGAACCTTCTGTCCTTTGGGCGTTTTATAACCTTTTTATTTGATTTGTCTTTCGTTGGACGTCCGTTGAAATCTGTTTGCACAGATTCTCTCAGAAAACTTTCTCTGGGACCAGAAGCGCGACTTACAATTTATATTGTTTTTGCGTGAACGCTTCCTTTAAGCCCATCTTTGCTGCTGTGTTTTTGTAATTGGTCATTTCTGTCTTTTATCATTTTAAGAACAACTCAGGCTTTTAACTGGGAGGAAATACTTGACTTTTTTTTTTAGTGTATCTGTGCTGGATGTAATGTTTATAAACGACAAATTTATGTATTTTTCTTCGTGGTTCTTTTCTCTAGTTGCTGAGTTATTCCTGCTGCTGTTATTCTGGTGTTTCAAAGGTTTTGATTTATTATTTAATTAGAGCAGCTGCTGTATGGTGACATGTTATTGTATCCAGAAGCAGCTGTTTGTTGTTTAGAAGTTGTCTGAAACACATCCTCTGAGTTTAATTAGAGGTTTGAAAACGTTTTATTTACAAATCTCAGACAGTTTCAGAATGTTGTTCAATAAACGTCACGATAATGTCGTCCGTTATGATAACCGCTCATGAATGACGACATTATCATTAACTTCATAAAAGCATCAAAATGTACAGCGTCTTCTCTTCTGTTGCCATTTTTAAAATGTTACAGATAATAAAAGTGTTTTTGCAATAAAACGAATGTTTGAGTAGATATTAAATGAAGTCCTTGGAAAGAGCAGCTGGTGGAGCTTTCGATCGTAGCGCTTGATCTTCATCAGCAGACGGGCTTTGACCATTTGTGTTGAAATAATTCGATTCAAATGTTTTGTCAACTGCTGTTTTCCTAAAGTACTGAAGAACAAAACAACTTATAAATTGTATATATGAAGTCAATCTGCTGCTGAAGATCATGTAAAACGATCGAAATCCAACAACAGCTGCTATCGGAACTATTGGATTGTTAAAATAGTTTGCTTCTAAAATCAACGTGACGTAGTTGACCTGCTACATCTCCAAAGTAATCCAGCCTCTCTCCATCATCTGCAATCTTTTATTTCACGTTACAAAAAACTCTTTGCCACACATTAAAAATGAAATATCAAACATCACAGATGTGGAATTATGCAACATCACCAGAGCACATAGACAAGTAGGACCGATTGTACAAGAGGGATAACTGTATTTTCACATGTATGCACAAAATCATACACAGAAAACACACAATATTTGACATATTTACAACAGTCACACACGGAGTATAATTGTCACGGACAGTAACAGCACGATACAGAGCATTCTCAAACATCAGACTTCCAGAGTGAACAAAGGAGAACGAAGGTAAATGAAGAACTTCAGAGAGCACGTATATCAAAACCAGCACAGTAAAATGCATTGGTCTGTGTTACATTCACTTTGTTTCATCTTAGCTGTTGAGTCCATATATATTCTCATTTAGCATTATTTCAAAAGGAAAAATGTATTTTAAATATACAGGATCTCCTCAAACATTGGTGAAAATATAGAATTTTAAAGAAGAAATCTTTTCTTTGATTAATCCTCCGCACGGCGTGTCAACATGTTGTGATTGGCAGTTGGACGAGGAAACTTCGTTACTGTACGTGATATTGAATAACGGCTAACAACCATGCACGTGTTCGTATCAGAATGGGTGTCGACCAGGAGTTTACGATGTACAATTGTCCTTTCTTTGAGAGCAACGAACAACATCAAGACGTTCATAGCAGCTGCGGAACATTACAGGCATGTCGACGGGCTGCTTGGCTTTTCTTATGGTTGCAAAAATGATGCCAATTATTCTGTTTACTCAAAGTGTTAACTAATACCGACCGGCTGGTTTTCTTGGTCCCCAGAAATTCTAAAACTAAAAGGGCACAATCTCGCTCCCCAGAGGATGAACTCTTTTCACACAACCTTTTCTGGCCAGTTGCCGACAACCTAACTAACGAGAGACTTCTGCTGAAGAGCTAATGCTGAGCTGCAGCGATGGCAAGAGAAGCTGGAGGCTGAATAGAATTGCTTGATGAATGTCTGGGAGCTAAGCTGCATTGCTGTGTTTTGGAGACGTATGAAGAGTTGGAATAATATGGAAAGAGGGCGGGATATGTATAAACCATGACGTGTGTTGAAAGGAGATTTATAGCATAAGGGCTTGAGCAAAAGGGCACAGTAAAGGAGGTGAGGTGTCATTCAAGTGTCCTAGTTATAATGGGACTATAGAGTTCTGCAGAAGTTAGCATCGCTCTGGTTCCCTCGACTAAAAACCGATTTTGGATTATTGTGGAAAATAATCTCTGTGGCAAACAAATGTTTATGATATACTTGCACGTTTAGTTCAACAAGATAATCTTCACAAATAAACACCACTTTTATGATTTCTGAAGCGTGAATGCAACCGGCAGAAGTCAAAGAGCTAACGTTAGGCTAACTACATCACCACATGACTAAATCATTTCTGCCCTCAGAACTGAACGTCAGCCCGGAGTGGAAGACGCCGAGTGCTTTTTCAGTCTGACACTTATCAATACAGATCCCACTATCAGGCAAAACCCTTCTCACCAAGACGCACTAAAGACAGAATAGCAAACAAACCCCAAAGTGAACGCAAGAATGCCTCAAAGCTACAACACTGTAAAAGGAACTAAAATAGCCCTGAATGAGTTTTGAGGCTGCTGTTCTCTTAAGAAACATCACCACCAATCCTTCATACTCTAATCTACGTGTCCACTTATCTTGAATAATCCATTGTTTTCGTGACACTCTGAAATGGAGACTCCTCATCTTTGGCATGATGTGATCAAACAAAACGAAGTACAGTACAAGTAGAGAGATTGGTCAAGTCAACAGTTAGCTGAATTATTAGATACAAGACATATAACACTTCTAGTCAGCATGGTACGATGAGGTACAGAGCAGTTTATGTTTAAAGGGAGTAGTGGAACAGTTTCGGTCTCCAGACGAGAGCTCATGGTGAAATGAGAAATGAACTTTTATATTTTCCATCCATAGCGGACAAAACGCCGAACAATGTGGCTCCAAATGAAAACAGTTTGCAGGTCCATTAAATCTCTTTAAATCAACAATGACACTGTAGAGTGCTGCAGGGATGAGCTGTATTTGAAGGCCAACCAGGAAGTCGGCGTCACGCTTGTTTCCTTGTCAAAAAGACAACGAGATTTTGGATTATTGCAGAAAATAAGCCCCGTGGCAAACAAACGTTTATGATTTGTTTGCTGTGAAGATTTACGTTATAAACTAATAACTATGCTGCTGTCACTGAGGCGCAAGCGTACACAACGAGGCTTTGAAGGCGGTCTAGTCGGCCTGATGACGTGTCGTAGTCTCATTTAGCCACTTGTTAGCGACCGCCTTTTTTACGTCACGTAAAAGCTTCAAAAATTCAAAAACGCTGACTCATTTCTGGGTTTTGTGACTCATTCCTGTAGCACTCTATTGCTTTGTCACAATTCACGTACTTCTGTATTTTAGAATGTCAAGACATTAAGTTTGCAAATGAGAAAGTTAATTCGTGACCGGCTAGTGTTGCAGATTCCGGACTTTTAGTGGGAAAAGCAGATTAATGGAACAAAGATGGCAGTGAGCTGTAGAGTGAGTGTCCGGAGGTAGACGGGCCTTTTGGTAAAGTTGGACATTAAAAGTCATCCATGTGTCTCTGGTAGAACATGACATCAGGTGCTCCATGCTAACAGATTAAGAAAAGTAGCATTATGAGGGAAGTTACTGTAGAAAATAAGTAGCTGCCCTAAATCTTTAAAGTATGTATGTGGTCCTACATCTGGCAGTTTCCCTTAATTTATATAAAATCAGGCAGTGTTTTCAACCAGCAGTTACTGTTATCAACTGGGAGAGACTGAAATAGTTGCATAAATATAATCTTTGCTGCATTACTTGAATTGTCTGTTCTTATATTTTATTTTTAAAGTGTGATAATCTAGATCACTGGTTAGTTAGTGGTCTCCAAGGCATCACGTGAGGCCTTCTTGATTTTAAGGAGTCCAAGACAACTTTCTAAAAGTGATATACAGTCGCCTACATCCCAGCATTTCATTCATTTCTGTGAAGAAATCTGCATGAAATAGTTTGTTTAGATTATTAATTAAGATATGAATTTGAAAATTAGAAAAAATACGCAGTTAAAACAACCAAAGAGCTGATAGAACAATGTCAAAAAAAGAGGTATGGTTGATAAAAAAAATTACAGATATTTGTATTGAAAGTCCCAAAAAAATAACAGGAAAACTCATCGCTGATGCAATATTCACAGGAAATAACCTGCCCAAATCACTCGTTTTACACAAACTTCCTATTGCGTTCACTTGCGAGAGTTAATTGTACAGTTTATCAGTTCTACTGTTATTGTTATGCCATGAATATAACATGAAATATCCTTAAAATGTCACTTAGTCAGGGGTCTTCAGTCAGTTGTGAAACACTGATCTGGATGTCAAACGTGGAATAAAAAAACAAGAGTCCTTCACAAGGGTGCTCAGGGTGGATCCCTGCTGCTTCTATCGGTTGTGTTCATATTCATGCAAACTTTATGGCGGCGTATCACCCAGAACTGGACAAACACGGAGAAGACACTCAAGCGCAAGTAAAACTCCACTTCCTTATTGAGTTTGTATAAAGGTCTGTAACTTATTTGCAACTACTGTAAACCAGCTGTGAGATAGCAAACTAGTCCTGCAAACAAATTATGCTATAGTAGAATTTGTTCCCCTCCACCTAAATAGTGCTGTAGTGCAATTTTTGATTAGGTTCAGAATTCGAGGTTTTTATGTCTCTGTTGCATATTTTCTGTCTTCAGGACTCAACTTTTTTAATTACTGAAAGATTTTCTGTACAAGCACCTGATCAACCCAGTATGCAGTTTAAATTCTTCTATTCTCAGTATTTGGTAAAAGCTCCATGCAAACCTAGAGATTAGAGTATCCACCCTATTTTCTTTCTCTGAAGAGGGACTTTATTGGAGGACTGCCAGGCTTAGTTCCATGTTAGCATGGAGCTCCAGCATCAGCACTCTGCTACCAACACATGGATGATTTCGCTGTCTCGTGACTAAATGGCAAACACAAAAAAAACCTACCAACAATAGTTTGTACTCCTTAAACAGGAAGCTGCATTGTGAATACAGCTGTCACTGCACTAGCTCACCCAGAGACAATGGACGAATAATGCCTGAGCCGTTTGGTGTTCCTGTTGGGTATCCGGTCCGGTCCGGTATCGGTATCAGTCACTGGGGTCCTGGCAGTGGGAGCAGTGGCTCATGTCTTCGGAGTAGAGCTCCACCTGGATGGTGATGCTGTGGAAACCAAACTTGGTGTGGAGCAGATCGGTGGCCTCCCGCAGCACCGACTGAGCGTCGGCACCCTCCTCTGACATGAAGTAGAAAACAAAACCGTGAGTCTGTTTTTACTACATATTGTTGTGCTACGTTTCTCTCATTTCTACGTTCTTCATGAGAGGAACTTAGTGATTGTAGTTGAAATGTAGAAATATGAAATCAGACTGGAGAACGTGTAGGATGAACACTGATATAGATGATATATACAGTAATGGCACATTTTGTGTGCCATTGCAATTGTAAATTATATCTTTTGCATTCATGTTACCTTATAGCACCAAATCTTGTTCAAAACTTCACAATCCTTTATCTTTAGACCTCAAATGCACAAGTTACATCTGTTACTCTTATCTGCTATATTCTAGTTTCTCACTTCTCACTAGTCGGTGTAGCCATGGATGATTAAAACTACCACTAAACAACCACAAAGACTTACAACAGAGACACAAAATGTCCACAACGAGACAAAGCAACCACAAAGAGACACAAAAAGACCAAAAAGCGACTACAAAGAGACACAAAACAACAACTAAAAGAGGCTTAACAACTATGTAGGAGAGGAGGGTGGGGCCTTTCACATGTCTGTTCTCGGGGGGGCCCATCGCCTCATAATTCCCCCTATGTGTGTAGGTCGTAGATCATTACGGTACGTTACCTATGGCCACGTGAACAGACACCAGGGCCTGGCCCAGAGTCAGAGCCCAGAGGTGCAGAGAGTGCATCGACTTCACCGCCTTCACGGACAGCAGCACCTCCTTCACCGAGTTAAACTCGATTCCTTTCGGGGAGCCTGAAGAACAGCAGGACACAAATTAATACGCAATAAAATCCCATGAAATGAAGATAATAAAAACCTGGTTATCATGTTTTAACATTTTCAGTACTATTTAGGTGACCTGTAATAGTGACGTGCAATGGGAATTTTGAAAAATGTCCCAAAAAGCGTCCCCAGGATGTGACCATCTGTGTTCTTTGTTCCGCATGAACTTAAAACAAATGCGTGTTCACAAAGGAGAAGAGGTCCCTGCACTTATTTAGCTGAATCCTGGTGCTAGTTTCAACCCACTTATGGAGCGAGTGTGTCTGCAGACATCACATCATTACATTCAAAGTTTGTTTTGAATTGACTCATGAATGCACAGAACATTACAGCGGCGTCATGTGATGTTGACCTTGTCAGATCAGGTCGAAACTTGACAGCTTGTTCGCGGCTGCAGGCGAGAAAAAAAACAAACCCGTCTGTGCCGGTCATAAATAAGCCTTCAGCTCAAGAGCCATCGTAAAGGAACACTTCAACATTTTATGTGTTGTTGCTTTCGTGCCAAAATTTAACTGAGGAGATCGATGCCGCAGCCATGTGAAATATGAAGCTAGCAGCTGGTTAGCTTAGCTTAGCATGAAGACTGGAAACAGGGGGAACAGCTAGCATCACCTGAAAATTAAAGAGCTCACCAATTAACAATTAATATCTTGTTTAATCCTAACTTATAACATTTTAAGCATTATCTTCTCCCAACCTAAACATGTTTAAAGTAATAGAGGAAGAAAAGGTTCCAGGTGAAGTACCTTCCATGAGTATCCTGAAGACGTCTCTGAGGATGGTGACGGTGGTGCAGAGGACAAAGACGGAGAACAGGAACGTACAGATGGGATCTGCAACTTTGTACTCGGGCTGAAAGAGAGAAAAGAGCTTTTTAAAGAGTAAATAAACGGGCATCAGATGGTGTTTTCCCACAGCCAGCAGCCATCAAAGTGCCCAGGGCAAACAGAAAAGGGAACAGCTTGCGTGAATTTAAACATATTAAACCCTTTCACTAAAAAACACTTTGGATAACCTCGATGCTTTTTAAAATAACCCATTATAGTGCCTGTTTTTTTTGGTACAAAAGGTGCATTTTACAGAGAATATTCAGGTAAAATACAAAATGAATTCAATGTTTTTCCATTAATTTCATAGAAAAGCTCCTGCAACAGTATCTCGACCATAAACTAGTCAATATTCTGGACTATTCAAGTTAAAGGGCTTCATAAAGGTTGTTTTTTTTAAAGCACCAATATCAGCAAACTGACATTTCGGTCTCACCCTAACATGAACGTGATCTATATCTGACCCGAAAGTAGATGATGATCGCTGCCACCATGACGCCGACGCTCTGCAGCAGGTCTCCGACCACGTGGATGAAGGCGGCGCGGACGCTGGTGTTGCTGTGGTCACCGAGGAGCGCGTGGGAGTGGCCGTGAGCGACGGGACTCTGGCCGCCCTCGTCGATCTGCTGGTAGCCGCTGCCGTGGGCGTGGAAGGTGGTGGAATGATGGAGGATGTAGGCCATGCTGCAGAAGAGAAAGAGGATAATTTGTGAAGATTAAGGTTTGAGCTTCAAACACAAATTTCCCCACGAAGAAAGGAAAATAAAACCAGAGACATGAAGTGGTTTAACCACAGTCTGTATGTAAGAAGTCAATGTCGTCATCGTGACGTCACCCGTCGGTATGTGGGCTACTGTTTTGAAGTACAAATTCGGCATTTTTGCCATCGCCATCTTGTTTTTTTGCAACCAGAAGTGACACAAGAGGGTGGAGCTAAATACATGTTTTTGGATCTCACTCCCCTGTAACTTTATTCGGCGATAGATAGTGACTTAACACACATTTATTTCAATTAAAAGCTTCAAGATTATTACTTTAAGTAAAAGTAGCACTACTCTAAGAACCCTTGTTCTCCTTTGAGAAAGCAAAAAACAACATTTATTCATCTCCGCCTTCACTATAGCGGCATAATGTACAATGTCAACGGCCATCATTGCTGAGAACCACTCACATTATATTGACGATGACGGCACAGCCGGAGGTGACCAACATTACATGGCCATCAATCTCGTAGTCGTTGCGTACGATCCTCTCGATGGCTAAATAGACCAGAGCCCCCGTAACGATCCAGATGGAAATGGCGGAGATGAATGCCCCGAGGATCTCTGAGGAGAGGAGAGGAGAGGCGGGAATCTTAATTACTTTTATATTGTAATGCAGTTCATCACACTCTCTACACACACATCTATCTGAGCACCGCAGGAGGACATGAAGTGAAATAACAAGAGGACATCCCTCAGAGGCAGAGCTTCGACAGAAAGACGAGTGTCAGACACACAACACACTCAAGATAACTCTGGTTTGCTCATAGTCACACACATAAACGTCTGATCTCTCGTTCTGACCTGATCGGTACCAACCGAAGTTCATGGTTTTGGTGGGCGGTCTGGAGGAGATCCACAGGGAGAACAGGCTCACCATCATGCTGCCAAAATCTGTCAGGAGGTGGGCCGCATCGGTCATGATGGCCAGGCTGTGGGCCAGGTAGCCTCCTGCAGGAAACCAGGAAAAACCAGTATTACTGTTAGCTTTGAAAACAGGCGGCGACCACAAGGGTCTGAAAAGTGAAGCCAATGCTTCACGTGTTAAAGCTGCATTCTCTCTAGTGTCCACCAGGGGGCGACTCCTCTGGTTGTATAGAAGTCTATGAGAAAATGACTCTACTTCTCTCTTGATTTATTACCTCAGTAAACATTGTAAACATGAGTTTATGGTCTCAATCTCTAGTTTCAAGTCTTCTTCAATACAGCATGATGTTCATTTAGTAAATCATGGTCCATTTATGCTTTAGGGCGGGGCTACCTTGTGATTGACAGGTCTGTACCTCAGCGTTGTCTGTTCTGTGAGTTGTCCATGTTTTCGTCTCAGAACTTTAACCCTTTCGCTGTGTTTTTTTTTACAGTTTACAAAAGCTAATTGTAACATTTTGGTTGCCTAAAAATGTCTTATTCAGGTTTCGTTTGTACTTAAGTCCACCCTCTTGTGCCACTTCTGGTTGCAAAAAGACAAGATAGCGACGACCAAAAACCACGATGTGAAAATCCAATCCTGATGCACGCTTCACATCTGCAAACTAAAACAACTGTTGTACTTTTAGCTGAATCTTTGTGTGGCAGGTGATAACTTTACTGTAAAAAAATATATATAAAAGCTGTATCAAGTTGCTTCTACAGGTTGGGATGAAGCGCACCACAATCTCCAGACACATTCAATGTTAAAACCTGCTGATGAGGAGTGATTCACCAACTGTTAAACAACCGTTATGATTATCTGAGCCATTTAAAGGTTTATAAAATGTGTAATTGAATGCAGCTACACACCGCGATATGTATTCAGATCCTCTTTAATGCCCCAGGTAAAAAAATATATGATATTCTTTTATATCATCATAAACATCTGGGCAATCAACCAAAGACTGAGTTACCACTTTATAGCTTATTCTCAGCAATACAAAAGTTTTAGTTCTTTGTAGTTTCTTAGAGAGAAATGTGCAGACTTCAGCCCTGCAGTGTTTCTATTATGGTGGATATAAATTCTGCGTAAAAGAGGTTTCTTTCCCGCCAAAAGTCCATAATAGCAGTGTGATGTGTTGTGATGTGTTGTAGGGTATCTTATACTGTAGTTGTTTGTCATACGGTATAAAAATGTAATATTATTTCAGACAAGCCATGCAAATACGAGCGATTGTCCAGGAAATAGATCACTGCTGTAAAACCAGACATGAACGTCTATGGACGTTTATTTATGACAAAAAATATGAAGCAATCTGGAGATCAAGACCTGAGAGTGTGCTGTGACAGATTCTGTGCAGAGCTCACTTTGTGTGCATTTGTTCAAAATCTGTTTGTAAAAACGCACCAAAACCAGGTTGTTACAGTCAAATGTATGTCAGCCTTGTCAACAAGTGACCACATGGTGTTTTACTGATATTGCTCAAATCTTGTTAACATAATTGACCCCTCGCTAAGCCCCGCCTCCCGCTGCAGCATGAGTAGCTAGCTTAGCATAGAAGTGCTACCGCTCTGCTAATGTTAGTGCCACGGGTTTTAAGGTAGAAACGTATTTCTTCTTCAAACCTCTTCGGGTAACGAGTATCACTATTACACAACGTTTAAACCAGCCTGAAAATGAAGAAAATCTGAAACAATTGCACGAGAGCCTATTGGGCAGTCGGTGTCCGAGGGGCGGGACTTAGCCAAGGGTCACTTCCTTCTTGTGTCCTTAAAAACATCTGTTATCCTCATGGTTCAAAAGTTGTTTTGCTCAAATAAATGACTCCCTGTGGGCTCCGTTCTGACTTATAGATAGATGAGTGCTTGACTTGATTGCGTGTGCTCGCTCAATAGTTTTTTCATTAATGAGCTTCTGTACAATATTAAACGTGCTTCTCTGGTGTCTGATGTAAGCTTTGCAGAAGGTGCAAATCCAGACACACTCAACATCACTTATGTGGCAAACATCTGGCAAACAAGCGTTGATACTAATCGGCTCTCTTTTGATCGTCAAATTTACATCAAATGTTTGTCATTTCAATGTGTAAGTTGCACACATCGTTCTGTAGTTGTAGTATAGTAGTATCAAGCTGTTTTATTTCAAAATATACAAAACTATACATCAGAAAACTGCTGTATTCTGTATTTTCAGTCTGATTTTCTGGCTCTCTTTCGTCCCTGAGGTTTGAGCTTCTAAACGTTTACCTATGACCTCGCCAATCATGAAGACGAGGCAGACGGCCGACGCGATGTAGAGCTTCTTCTTGGCCAGCAGCCTGTCGCCGCTCTCCTCACGCGCCGGGGCTTTGGCCCCGTGGCAGTGGGCGGCGATGGGCCGCTTTAGCTCGATGGCACCGGCCACGCCTCCGTTCTTGAAGGGGAAGTCGGGATATTGCTCTTTGGAATCTGGAAAGGAGCTGCAGGGACAAAGAGAAGGTATGTGTGTTTGTGAAGACGGAGAGGGTCCTGTAGTGGCACATAGACCACATGAAGGGGCACAGAAGTATGACTCAAAACTGTTTGGGATTCCCTCCAGGGACTTCAAGGTTGCTGCTCAGAGGAAAAGATCCTCTCATTTTGGATTTAACTGTATGTACACTAGTCTGGTAGTCGTCTATAAAACGTGTTGAGACACATGCTCCAAATTAAACTCCTCGTGAAAGGGAAATTAAAACGCTCCACACACTCCTCCCTAAAGGTTGCTTGATGGATGTAATGCTATAAATTGGTCGGTAGTAGCTTATGAAAGCAGATTTCATATTTTGTTTTACAGGAAGAAAAGATAATTGGATTTTGATTAAAAAAAACAAGAGGTAGCGACGCTACAAACATGTGACGATCTTATAGAATATGATGCATTAATGTAGCTTAAACTGGCCAACAGGATATAAAGGAGTTAACATGCAACATACAGTAATATTAATCCAGAAGGTTTTTACTTTTGATACTTTTTCACAGTGTGGTAGTACTTTTACTTGAGTGATCTAAAAACTTCTTCCACCGTTGCCTAGTTAGAGGTGACTTTGTTTTGCTGTTCTGCTGTGGTGAAACTACACTGGTAGAATAAGAGTTGGGCCAACATGGCTGTTAATACAAGGTGATATAATGCTCCAACATGTTGGCATTTAGGGTGGTTGTTCACCTTGTAACCGCCTCACTTACTCCAGTAAGTGAGGCACTGACGCCTATAAGACACTGAGTGGAATTGATTTTGGGAGTAAACGTTGCTGCGCAGCACAGTATTGTTTGGAAGAGCAACACTTAGTGGAAACAGATAGTCTCCTGACAAAGTGGATTACAATCAATGTTCGCTGCAGTGGCAGAATGGCGAGACGGGGTCATCTAGTAAAGAAGGAATGGGTGAAATCGATTAATGCTGACAGTGAGCGGGGCTGTGTGGATGAAAACAGACTCGCTGAACTTTTACAACTCAGACCTGAGTTAAGTACATTTACTGGTACCTGAGTTAAAGGTTCTCTACTCGATACTCAGAGAATTAATGTAAACTAATGTAAACTAAACTAAATATTTAACTAAACCTAACTAAGTAGTTTCCTGTAATGTAACATGTAACAAGAGGAAATGGATGCGTTTTGCTGGATTTGATCTATTTCTATTGTATGAGGATACGTTGAGTACTAATACTGCTACTATTATTCCTACTTATTGATTCTTCTCAATCTAACAGCCTCACATCAGACTATTGATGTTTTTAACATCTGGTCACAGTGATTGTGTTCAACCTGAGAATTACCCGTCAGCTCTGACCAGACAACTACATTCATTTGGGTTGTAATCACGGGAACAGAACGAAACACTGACTTCTGCATTTTACACACACACACACACACATCCAGGTTGCTGCTCTTGTCATGTGCAGTGAGGGGGGGGGGCTAATGAGGGGGAAAAAAACTAATCTGGGCTCACTTGAGATAACCGCACACGGACACACACTTTATGTCACACACTTCACATGGGAGATTGCCAGTGTTTCTATGATTAGCCTTTATTTTATCTCTCACACACACACACACACACACACACACACACACACACACACACACACACACACACACATATATACGTAGGTCCAAACTGAAAAGAATCAGCCAAGTGGAAAACAGATTCTGTTCAATTATACCACTGAGACATGAGAGCACACACACAGACACACACACACACACACACTCACACACACACACTCACACGGAACCTTTATACACACAACACACACTCGAGTGTTCTGAAGCCTTAAAGCTATATGTTCAAATGTGAGCATGTTCTTATTATGCAAATAAAAAATAGATTTATAAAATAAATATCCAAATACAACCACAAACTTAATGTGGCCATGAGGCTTTACTATTGTACAACAAATGTATTTACCGCATTATATTCATTTTTAAGATAAATATCTACTTTAGTACTGCACAGTATAATTAAATCACCCTTAATTATAAAAGATCTTTTCATGAAAGACCATTTTTTTGTTAGCTTGTTAGCATTTAGCTAAGTTAGTTCCCTTTTGTCCTGACTTGATTTCGGGAAACGCAAACAAACTTTATCGTTTTTCACATTCGACGTCATGAATTTTCACATATTTGTTTTGTTCATTTGTTGGTTGTGTGTGCACAGAACAATGTCCTTGAGTCCTACATTATTTATCTCAGGTAGGAAGAACAGCTCTGACATCATTTTGTTGTGTGTGGTCGTGGTTCCTCCTGCATAAGTGTGTTTTCTGAATTTTAAATCAAGTCTAAAATGTTCAAAAAAACAAGCGAACGCCCTTATTTAACCGTACACTTTATAAGTAAGCACTTCTGCCTCACCTTTGGTGCATCATGCATCATCTCATTTTTGAATACAACCAACACAACAGCTGCATACGTCTCTTTGATGAGCAATACAAAGGTAATAAAGAGCTTTTAACGGTTATTGTTATTGCACATTTAATCTCAAACGTCTTAACAAAGATATTGGTGTGACGTTTGCTGCACCCTGTTCCATTAAGATTGTATTAACTGCTGCATTAAGTTCTTGGTCGGCAAAATGACGACACTGTGCACAATGTTGGGTGTCCGAAATATTGGAGTTCATCTGTTGGTCAATAACGCCGCAGGGCAGGTGTGCAGAGAGCTGAGGGAACATTCAGCGATCTGTGAAATGAAGTGACGTGAAGAGACCCTCCGAAGAGATGTCCACTGAAACAATCCAGCCTTTTATTACAGCTGCAGTCTGCTGTATCTGAGCTCTATTTTACTGCAATACTTTATGCATCTGACAAAACAGTGCCTGCAGGGAGAAAGGAGGACTGCTGAGAAGGACAACGTGTGGTCCAGCGGCTTTAACAGAAGAGTCCTTTAATTATAACTGTTGTGATTGCAGCCCTAACTTGTCAAAAACATAACCGTCTACGTGATTGTCAGTTGATACAATATCATAACTACGTTGGTCTTTAAAGATTCTCCACACATGTTTCAGAGCAGCAGCAAACAATAATTTGCTCTGTACAGATTTAGTGGTTAGATGAGAAGATGGATTCCATATTCGTATTTGAACTGTACTTTAATTGAAGCTATACAGCCAGCATCTGGTTAGCTTAGCTTAGCTTCAAGACTGGGAACAGGTGGAACACAGCTAGCCTTGCTCTGTCTTACGGTAACAACATCGGCCTACCAGCACCTTTAAAGCTCATGTATTAACAAGTGATATCGTTATGTATCTATATTTGTTTAATATGTTAGCAGCTTGATCCACTGTGGTCCAAACCGAAATATCTCAACAGATATCAGATGGTTTTGCGTGACATTTTGTACAGACATTAATGGTTTCCAGAGGATGAATCATAATGATGTCGGTGATCCTCTGACTTTTTTATCTAGCGCCATCACCAGGTCAAAAGTTCAGGTTGTCTACTAATTTTGTTTATAACAATTCCTGCAAAACTAACGACATTCCCATCATCTTTGTGTTTAGCAAATGTTACAATGCTAACGCATTAAACTGAGATGCTAAACATGCTATGTACATACGTAGCATCCATAGCATTGTCATTGTTAGCATGTTAGCATGCATTTAGCACAAAGCACTGCTGTGACTTGTTGTAGACGCTCAGTCTTGTTTGAATACAAAATATTCACATTACTTTTAAAATATTTAAAATGCAAATTCAACATTTTATATCTGTTTTGATACATATTGTCTCTGGAATATATTTGAATCATGATTTTGTATTCTGAGAAGATGTTTTGATGAATATGATCTCATTAAGTTACACTTATCTTAACTATATTTGGTTAAAACCTAAATTATATGAATTAAATAACTTATGAGCTACCAGAAGACCAGGCTGGTGACCAAAGTGCATTAAAAGGCCCGACTGGCTCCACTGGTTTATTATCAGGGACAGAAGCAGGGTCTCCTGCCAGACTCCCATTAACGCTCAGCTAGTTATGCTGCCTTCATGTGCTGCCAGAAATATCAGAATTAACATTGAGTAAATGATCCGACTAATAGGCTTTTGGTAAATACAGCAGGGCGGTCTCATCAGCATTCAATACCAACGAAGAAATAATGCGCTGCAATTCATAGATATCCCACGAGCAGGTTTAGTGGACTAATAAGAACATTTATGGATTTACAAACTTCTGCTGATGCTTGACAATAATAAACTCCTTTCCATTTATTAATAACATTATTCATTATGTGGCTGCCACTGTCGTCATAATCAATTAATCTACCAATTATTTTCTTTTTTTTCTGTAAACATGTTTAAAAACAGAGAGAAATGCAATTAAAGTTTTTATTTGACTCTTCTGCCACAACCTGATTTGTTCTTATTAATGGCTCATCACTGATCCATGAAGCGTTAATAATCAATGTATAAACCATTAATAAAGGCATTAGATAAGTGTTATTAAAACCTCTTTAGCCCGAGCGGAGACCATTTGGGCTTAGAGCGAGACCGTTTAGAGTGGTACCGTAGTTCCGAATGGACTTTTTATTAAGAAATATCAAAAATGCTCCAGACATATTAAATATCGAATTAACGGGAAAATATCTAGAATATTTGCCACAATTTTGGCCAAAAATCGACGACATATGCTCACTCTATGGCTCTCTCATCACGGAGCAGGATCGCACATGGCGGATGAACACATGCAGGAGGGGCTTGATTCGACCCGGAGACGAGCAGCGTCGTCGAAATTACTCTCTTTGAAACCGTTCAAAAGTTATGGGTATACATGCCAACAAGCGACAGGTCACGAGAAAAAAAAATTGGTAAAAAAAACTTACGTTTTGGCGATGAAAAACGGATTTATTCCAGCTGATGTCTGTCATGTTGTTCTGCGTGTTTGTGACTGGTATCAATGCGCTGGCAGAATGAACAACAAAATGACACCCGATCCTGTGAGGT